CCAGGCCCCCCGACCTTCGAGCTGGCGAGTTTTCACCCTGTCGTGAAAGGTGCCTGGAGCAGGAGGTCGGCGGACACCCAGGCCTGGGCGCAGGCTGCGCGCTGGGCTCGTCACCTCAGGAGGGTTCGAGTGGCCTTGCAGAGCTTCGTGCTCCAGCTACGCCCGCAGCAGGTCTTCGAGCTCGGCAGCGTCGGCGAGGCGCACGTCGACGGTGTGCCTGGCCTGGGCGATGGGGCACCCCCTGCTGCGGAGGTCGTCGGAGTGGCTGGTCTCTCCTCCGATGGTGGTCGGCCTCGGTCGAGAGCTCAGCGACACCAGCCCCCGCGACGGGCAGGCGAGGACCTATCGTGGGACGCCGTGCACTCCAAGGCGGCGCGCCACCTGCTGGAGTGCGAGAATTTCTTCCAGAGAATCTGGCGGAGGAAGGGAGTCTGGCCGCACCTGGACGCCGAAGCCGTCGGCTTCTTCTCGCGTGGCATACTTGCCTTAGCGCAGGCAGACTTCGAGCAGCAGGTCGACCGCATCCTGAGTATCTCCTCCGATGCTGAGGCCAAGCATGAGAAGGCCGTGATGCAGAGCTGGAGGCAGTGGGCGCAGGCAGCTTTTGCGGCTGGAGCCAAGGGAGCTCACCGATTCATGAAGCCCAAGGCTCTCCAGGAGATCGTGGACGGAGGCAATGGGCTACAACATGGGTACGTACTGGCTGATCGTAAGCTTGAGTATTGGGAAAGCTTCTGGGTGCGGCATGGCGGTGAGCTGGCTCGCCGACCTGTTGATGCTGACACTTGGGAGCAGCTGCCAAGGCTTGAGGCGGCCGACGTACTCAAGGCAATCCGTTGTTTCTCTTGGCAGACAGGCGTCGGGCAGATCAACATCGCGCCCAGGGCCATGGAGCACCTCTCCCACGGGGCGCTGACGGCTATGGCGCGCCTCTTCGAGCGGTGCGAGCACCTCCTGCTGTGGCCAGACGGCAGATTCCTCTCGAAGCTCGTGAGACTCCCCAAGCCAGGGGGTGGGGAGCGCCTGATTGTGCTGATGAACACGCTGGTCAGGATCTGGGGACGGGCGAGGCGGCCTGTCTCGGCAGCGTGGGAGAAGGCCCATGCGCTACCAGAGGTCTGGGGCCACACTGGAGGCAAGTCGTCGAGTGATGCGGCCTTTGATTTGGCGCTCACCAAGGAGATGGCGACCCTGTGCGATGACGACGCCATCATTGTGCTGCTGGACATGCTCAAATGCTACGAGCTGGTCAGGCATGATGCCATTTTGTTGGAGTGCAGGGCCAGTGGATACCCTATGCGAATGGCGTTCATGCTTGTGCAGATGTACCAGCAGCTGCGCTCGGTGCACTCGTATTCTTCGTATTCAGTGGCGCGCAGGGCGTATCAGGGCATCCTGGCAGGCTGCACCCACGCCACTACGCTTCTCATGGTGTTGTTGACTCGCAGCATTCGCCAGACGATGTCGGTCGCTCCTCAGGTTCAGCCCAAGGACTTGGTGGACGACGTCGCGCTGTGCTGGGTCGGCAACGACCCGAGCGGGGTGCGAGAAATGGCCATTGCCACTCGTGCTTTCTGCAGGGCTGTCCGGCCCCTCGGGCTGGTGCTGCAGATGGATAAGTCTGGGCACCTTACGACGTCCAGGCGCACCAGCTACCACTTTCAGAAGTACGCCAGGCTGCTGAAGATCGCTGGCAAGAGGCACATGCGGTATCTTGGCCACGACCTAGCTGGGTCGTCGGCCACAAGGGCCGTGCAGAAGGGACGCCTGAAGGCCATGCACGGAAAGAAGGCCAGCGTTCGAGCACTGCAGAAGGGAGCAGGACGACAGCGGGCGGCTCGGCTCTGGGCCACGGGTGTGCTGCCATCCGTGGGGCACGGAGCCACGGTCAGCGGCATCAGCGACACGGAGCTGCAGCAGATGAGGACCATGGCTGGCGTCTTCTGTGGCTACAAAGGGTCGGGCTCCCTGACGCTGTACCTGGCCGCGCAGCAGTGGAGCTTCGACCCCATATTCCACGCTACCTTCAGCATCGTGGGGCAGTACGCGGCGTGGGTGTGGGATGGGCGTGTGACGCTCTCCCGACTGCAGCGGGCCTGGATGGGCTTGCGTGACTCCTGGGAAGCCCGCCACACTCACGTCACGTGGGCCAGTGCGCAGGGCCCGCTTTCGGCCTTGTGGTTGTCCCTCAGGAGAGTCAACTGGAACATGGCAAGTTCTACAATCTTGGTTGACGATGAGGGCCTGCATATCAGTTTGCTGCAGTATTGTCCCAGTGAGGTGCTGTTTTTCCTGCGTCGCAGCCTCGACCGTTGGCAGAGCCATCGTATCCTCGACCAGCTGCCTGAGGCGCCCCCAGCCGATGGTGACGGCAGGCGGCAGCAGCATGTGTGGCTTCGTGCGCTTCGACTGGGACACGCCTCCTTGGCGCCTGGCCACAGAGGGGCTCTGGCCAAGCTGCAGTCCAACGGGTTCTGGTCGCCGCAGCGCCGCATGCAGGCTGGCTACGGCGGCGACGGTTCGTGCGAGTTCTGCGGGGAGGCCTGCTGCGACCTCGAGCATGAGATCTTCGGCTGCACGGTATTGCATCAGCAGCAGGAGGACGAGGAGACGGAGCCGTACCCCGAGGAGGTGGCCAAGAGGAGGAAGGACATCCTGGAGGCAGCCCCGTGGCGCGACGGGGGCCAGGTGCAGGACTTCTCGGCCGTCGACGTGCTCTACGCGCTGCCCCTGAGGCCTGCTTTCAGGCCGCTGCCTGCACGTGCTCAGGCTGAGCGCGAGTGGGGGGCGATCGACATGCCGTGGCCGTCGAAGTTGTACGGGGACGGGTCCTGTCTTGAAAGTGATTTCCCTGAGGAACGGCGCTGTGGCTGGGCCGTCGTAGCATTGACCCGAGACCTGTGGCCATACAAAGCTTTGTTCGGGAGCCTGGGGGGCCCTATCCAGACGGTGCCCAGGGCCGAGCGCGTTGCTGGTCTCAAGGCCCTGCAGAGGGCCCAGAGGCCAGCCACGTACGTGACTGATCATTTACAGCTGCAGGTCGAGGGAATGGCCTGGGAGGGTCGTCATGCTTCTGCCAGAGCGCCTCACGCGTCCATCTGGCGGAGCATCCACGAGCTGTATAGAGGCGACCCTGTCAGGCCCGTGTTTGTTTGGACGAAGGCCCATCGGACCGTCCTCGAGGGGTTTGAGGCCTGCCTGGCCTCCCAGGAGCCCCTGGAGCATTTTTTCGGTAATATGTGGGCTGATGTTTTCGCCCGCGTGGCAGCGGCTGATTTCCTTGGATCCACCTCCGTGGTCAAGGCTCACAAATTTTCTCTGCTTCGGGCCCAGGACACGATGCGTTGTCTGGCCTGGGCTGCCGAGCGCGTGGCCCGCCTCTCCACCCCGATACTCCGTGCGCCTCCGAAGGCTGTCTTTCGGCCCCGCCGTCCGCGGCGGCCGACCGATCACGACTTTGTGGTCTTCGCTGGGGGAGCTATTCGATGTCGAGCCTGCTGGAGGCTTGCAGCGACGGCCTCGTCGTTGAAGTCTCTGGCCTCCCGTGCATGCGACCCCCAGGAGGTCGGGCCAGGACACCAGGTCCAGGCCTTGGATCGAGTTTTGATCTGTGTTAAGTGCGGGGCGCACGCTGTGCGCCCCAATCGGCTGTCGGTCGGCCTGTCTCGAGCGTGCAAGAGGGCTGGGACGGGGTCGGCGGGAGCTGGGAGTGGGGGGGACGGAGCTATCGCGTCGATGCTCGAGCTGGCTCGAAGGGGCCTGCATCCCAAGACGGGCGAGCCCCTCGAGCCGCTCGTCTTCTCGGAGCTCGGGGTGCCTGCGATGCCGCAGCAGGCGCCCGAGCCCGAGGCACCTGACTAGTGGGCGGAAGTGCTGGCGGGGGGCGCGGTGCGAGTGGGGACTGCCCGGCGTTGCGCCGTTAGTGACCCTCGCACCGTTGCTCCCCAGCCCCGCGCACGGAAGGAGCAGATCCGCTGCACTTAAGGGCCCCTTAAGTGCAGCGGGCTGTCTTGGCCTCCATCGCGTCGATGCTCGAGCTGGCTCGAAGGGGCCTGCATCCCAAGGCGGGCGAGCCCCTCGAGCCGCTTGTTTTCTCGGAGCTCGGGGTGCCTGCGATGCTCAGCAGGCGCCCGAGCCCGAGGCACCTGAATAGTGGGCGGGTGCGGGCGGGGGGCGCGGTGCGAGTGGGGACTGCCCGGCGTTGCGCCGTTAGTGACCCTCGCACCGTTGCTCCCCTGCCCCGCGCACGGCGCGGAGAGCGCCCCTTGTTGGATGAGGGCCCTCTCTCGTTCTTTTTTTCGAGGCGTGTTCGTGATTCACCTGCACGCTCTCGGCACTGTCCTCACTGTCCTCCTCCTCCTCCTCCTCCTCCTCCTCCTCCTCCTCCCTCCTCCCTCATCCCTCCTCCCTCCTCCCTCATCCCTCATCCTCCTCCTCTTCCCTCCTCCCTCCTCCTCCTCCCCCCCTTTCCCCCTCCTCCTCCTCCTCCTCCGCCTCCGCCTCCGCCTCCTCCTCCTCCTCCTCCTGACGACTCACATTGCGAACAGAAAGGTTAGTGTGACCTAACCTCACCTGCTCATAAACGCCTCACGTCAATCCTGTGAGGCCGCAGCTGACTGGGAAGGATCAAAGGGCCGCACTTCAGCGGCGATCCACTTACCCCTATACAACACTCGACCCTTCTCGAAACCTCAAAGGACCCGCCTTCCCCAGACTCCAGGCGGGCCACAACCCCTGCCGAGTTTGAGGACCTGGGCACCAACAGCCGTGCTGGCGCCACAGCGGGCGCAAAAAAACCCGTCGACAAAATTGTCGTTGCTGATCCAACGACGCAAAGCATGCCCGCCGTCCACCACCCGAGCTCTCCCACTCTCCGACGGCAGGGGCACGACGGGAGGAGCGGGGGCGGCGGCGGCGGCGGCGCCAGGGGCGATGGCAGCTGCGGCCGCACGCGCCTCCCTGCGGGCGCGGCGTGCGGCCTGCAGCTGCGTCTTGGACAGGTGCTCGCGGTCGACGCGCACCTGACGGGCACCTGCCTTGGCCACCTGGCGGGCCACATTGGAGACGAGCACAGTGGCCTGTCGGTAGCGCTGCCGATGGGCTCGATCGATCCTTCCTCCACTGGCGACCTTCCTGGCCCAAAAATCGGCGCGCTCATTGCCAACAAAAACACGGACCGACAGACTCGATGCACGTCGCTGCTCGAGAGTGGCGTGGCTCTTGACTTTGACAATCCAGAGGTCCCCCCCCCTCAACAAGACCACCCCAGTCAACTCCCAGAGATCTGCATGAGCACTGCGTGGGTCAGTGCACTGAAACTTGCCTCGCTTCAAGAGGCCGTCCACGACAAATTCGCTGTCACTGTGAAAGACAGCAGGGGGCCTAGCAGCTCTAAGCCCTTGCAGGAGGGCCATCAGCTCAGCCCGATCGATGCACTGCGCAGGGCCCTCGAGGCCACCTGCTAGCACGGCGACTTCCTCGAACGAGTGGACAGCGACTGGGGGCGGCGGCGTTGGCAGCAGGGCAACGACAGCCCATCCCGCCACACTCGCCCAAGGCATATCATGATCCAAACGAGAGCCATCCAGAAAGAGGTCCCCCGCCTCCTCCTCTTCCTCCTCATTCCTCTCCTCCCCCCTCCTGCTCCTCCCCCTCCGTCCTCCTCCTCCTCCTCCTCCTCCTCCTCCTCCTCTTCCTGCTCTTCCTGCTCTTCCTCCTCCTCCTCCTCGTCCTCCTCCTCATTCTCACCTTTCTCCCAGAAGTCGAGGCGCACGTGGCGCAGAACCCGTCTCTGGCCAGACGCAGAGGTTAGGGCGAAGGCGGGAAACGATGCAGCAGACTTGTCTGCGAAGGCGGGGCTCATCCCGAAGGCTATGCAGCGGATCTGCAGCGGAGCTGCAGGAAACGAGTGCCAGACCAAAGTTGCCAACGCTGTCCGTCTTCTGGCCAATGCCTGCCTTAAACCTCAAGAAATGCCCTTTGGTTCCTCGAGCCCCCGCTCCTAGGCCCAAGGCACCCGTGAGAAAGGAGTTGCACGATTGGGAGTGGTGCATATCCTGTTGGTGTTGCAGCATTTCGCCCATCATTAAGAGGCCCAGCGCTGTAACCGTGTGTACGCGAAGTCGACGGGGGGGTCTGAAACGTTCCTCCTAGCTTGAATTCCGTCACTCCAAAAGGGCACGGGCGAACCATTTCTCAGTGTAGCGGCGAGTATCTTCGTTGTGTTTATATCAGGTGAAGGGTCATTTCTACTTTGAGCCCTCCTCGCGCTGAGAGATCAACAGTGCTCGCGCCCCTCACGCAATAACAAACATCCCAAGCTGAAGGGAGTGACCCTCGAGGCTTCTCCTAAGGAACCAGCGGCGGCGGCGCAAGTGGTTGATCCTCGTGTGGTCCAGTGCGCCATCCGCCTTCGTCTTTCCTCACGTTTCCGTCCATGTTTAAAACATCCTCCTCCTCTTCCTCCTCCTCCTCCCTCTTAGTTTCAGCACGTCCGCCGTCCTCCCGCGAGGGAGGAGGAGAGGGAGGAACAGGAGCATGAGGAGGCGCACACATGGGGGTGGGGGATACGACGGAGGGCTAAAGGGGAAGCGAAGCGGGAGCACGGAGCAGGAACAGGAGGTCGATTGGGAGGAATGTGTCTTTCACCAGTGCTGCACTGCCGACCATCTAGCGAGCGAGCAGTTGGGAGACTCCGCCTGTACGTGGGCCAGCTTGGGGTGCCTACCCTTCGCGATCTTGCTCCGTGCTGCGGCGGCACCGTGAGAGCTTGTTCCCTGCTTGGGAGCAGTGGTTGTCAGGCAATCCTTGGCAGGCACGACTGCGAGACGGGCCTCCAGTTGTGTACGCCTTGCACCTGGAGCAGGCATTCAGCAACGTGCCGTCGGTGCAAGACTAGACCTTCAGCGGGTGCCTGCGCTGCCTAACCTCGAGGGCGGTGGCGTGGACGTCACCAGAACAGGCGGTATGCTCACAACATCGGCGCTTAAAGCAGCGCTGGCACATTCCAATTGAGCGGCACCAGAGCCACTCGTGCAGCATGCCAGCTGAATCCGACGCCTGCTGACGGCGAGGAGGAGGAACACGAGGGGCGTTGTCGAGGCCCAGCCGTGGCCAAGTCGGCATGGGGCGGGCTGCAAGGGCACATAAGTGGCGAGCGTTATCGCATTGACCGTCCATTGCTTGCCACTCGTTGGGCGATGCTCTGGGGTGGCTCCACGCTCCCCAGTTAGCAGCGGCATCGGCCTCGTCGTTCCTCTGCGTAAGCAAGTACAGATCTTCGCTGAGCTCGCCGTCGTCCACGAAGTGAACTCTCACCTTGCGAACATAAGAATATATTGGGCTGGCCTCCGGCCAGTGCCGGCGATCCAGGGGGGGTGAGACTTTTGGGACGTCTTGGAGATTTCTTGGTCCCCGTGTACCGAAAAACGTCGGAAATGACGTCGGAGATAACGCACCCCCCCCTGCAGAGCGAAACTTGAGCGAGCTCAAGTCCACGCTCTCAGAAACTCACACGCCAGATCGGCGGGTAATATGGATGAATACCAGGTCCCCAGCCCGGGGGCCCCGCCCACCTCAAGACCATCGGGCCCCCTTCTTGTTGATACCCTCGCCCTGGTGCCTCCAGGGGGCCTCCAGACGGCCCAGGAGGCCTCCAGGAGGCCTCCAAGACGGCCCCAGGACGCACCCAAGATGTCCATGAGGGCTCCGATGTCATCGTAACCCGGCTCGCCCTGGTCCCGGGTTCTGGTTCTCCCTCCCTCTCCCCCTCTCCTTGTGTTCTGCAGTTGTGCACAGCCTTTTAGGCTTAGGGAGCGACTCACCTTGGAGTCGCTGAGGTTTCCAGACTGAGCACAGAAAGGTACGTTCGCCCTCCCCACTTACTCCTTTACTCTCCGAGCCCCCCGAGCCCTGTGACAGTGGTAAGCGGAGCCCGTGGTTGTGAGGCAGATCGTGGGAGGAGCCGACGTGCGAAGAAGTGGCAGGTGCTGGACCCTCAGCGCAAACAGGAAGAGCTCGAGCCCTCTCGACGCCGGCATGCCGGCGGATGGTGATGACCACGGTTTCGACGAGATAGGTAGTGATGAAGCGCGCTCTGTTGGCATTCAGGCGACGGGGTCAGACCTGGGCTGGGGTCAGAGTGCGTGGAACAGCTGGAGCTGGGGCTCGGGCTGGTGGTACTCGTGGACACCGTGGACGGCTGCAGGAGGCGACGGTGACGGCGACCAGGACGAGTACGACGCCCAGGATTGGAAGAGCACGACCTGGGGCCGCCCAGGGCGCAGCCGTGACTTCGGGCCTCCTCCAAGCTGGCTCGGATTAGAACATTTAGAGCTGTATAGCTGCAGTGTGCGGGCGTGGTCCACGAGGACCAGCCATCAGCCAGAGACCCAGGCGTCCAGGCTGGTGGAATCCCTGCCTGTGGAGCTCCAACTGAAGTTCAAGCCAGTGCGACAGGCCCTGGAGCTCGAGAATGGCGTAGACACGTACTTGGACCATCTGAGCGTTCTCAACGGAGAGCGGCCCGGCGACAGAGATCGTCTTAGTCATAGCCATGCGCTGTTCGATTACATGATCCAGCGCAATGAGAGCATCGCCGATTTCGTGCTTCGACGCGATGCTCAACTGGCAGATGCAGCTGCTCGAGGGCTTGTGCTCCCAGACAACGTGTTGGCACGCTACTTGGAAGAAGGAGCGAATCTATCGGCACAGAACGAGATCAACCTGCGTACGCTGGCAGGTGGTCAGAAGGATGCGGCATCCATTCGGTCAGCTCTGTTGCTTCTTGATGCGCAGGAGAAGCGGGTCCTTCCAGCGCCCGTCCCCAAGAGTTTCTTGCACGAGGGATCCTCATCATCGGAGTGCCCGCCGCCTCCGGAGACCTACTACGAGGACGACGACGACGAGATAGAGCTGCCAGAGGACGAGGCTTTGGCTTTCCTGACGGCCGTGGAAGAGCAGGACATGGACGAACATGAAGCTGCCGAGGTTTTTGCTGCAGTAGTGGAAGAAAAATGGTAAGGAGCGTCGACGTACCTGGACCGAATCTCGGAAGCTGAAGTTAGCTAAGAAGACGGACCGTGACTTCTTCGACCGCCGCAAATCCTCGAAGCCAGCTCGTCCTGGGTTTCGGAAGATCGCAGAGAAGGATTTCCGCCGCAAGTCACGGTGTGCGAATTGCGGGCAGCGAGGCCACTGGGCCGAGAGCTGCACGAACCCATTCCAGTCCAAGGCGGATCGGTTGGCCAAGGAGAAGGCTGCTGGTGCCAAGGCGCCGACTGGCTTCACCTATTTTTTCGTGAACGAAGATGTGGACGACTTTTCGGGGATGGTCGACCTCGTCCGCGCGACGTTCGCCGACGTGACCCTCAGGAGCCTCGGCACGCACGCGCTGGTGGACACCGCGGCCGCACAGGCTCTGATCGGCCGGGCCGAGGTGTTGGAGCTGGAGGGTGCCCTGAAGCTCCGAGGCTACCGGCTCATCCTCGACTGGACGCCGGTCGTCGGCGTCGCAGCCTCTGGGATCGGAGGTCGAGCTGTACCGGTCGGGAAGGCTTGGGTGCCCGTGACGTTGGGGGGCTGCGGCATCGTCGAGTTTTTGATTCTAGAAGGATCTTGTCCGCCGCTGCTGCCCGCCAAGTTTCTCACTTGCTTCGGCTCGGTTATCGATCTCCCCCGGAACCAGATGAGCGTGAAGGTGGGAGGCCGATCGGTTGCTTTTGATTTGGTCTCGCATCCATCCGGCCACCGCTCGGTCGACCTGGTGCAGCGCCCCGCCTCCCAGTTCGTGCTGGCCCGCGAGATCCAGGACACCCTGGGGATGTCGGCCCAGCAGTTCGTGGTCCAGGACCGCGGGGAGGGATCGGCCGGTGAGAGTCGGCCCGCGCCAGTCAGCAGCAGCGTCAGTCCCTCTCCTTCCCTCTCCTCTCCTCCGAGCGGGGGCCCGAGAGGGTTGCGATCTTGTGGACCGGACCCCCCCCCCTCCGGAGCTCTCTGCTCAAACTTCTGAGGAGAGGCGAGCCACCGCGAGTAGCCCAGGAGGAGGCCGCAGCGTTCACGATGTCATCCGGCAGTGGGCGGCCCGGCGCCAGCAAGAAGGAGTCGCGAGGCAAGGCCCCGCATCCTTCGAGGAGGGTGCAGGCCAGTCGGAGGACTCGCTTCAACCTGAGCGCGATGAGGACTCGTGCTTCGAGTATCCTGGAGAACGGCCCGAAGGACACCGAGATGGACGATTGGGAGG